TGTTGGATCCCTTATGAAGCTTTCAGAGACGTGGTATTTGGAGTGAGCAAGATGTGGGCATATTTGTGCTTTCTGCTGCCTAGGGTTTGTGCAAGAGACTGCAGCGGGGTTTCGCTGTGTAATGCCTTTTGATCACAGTTTTCCCTCGGTGGTGCGCTGCCGTGTGGTGTTGTGCAAGAGACTGCAGTGGGGCTTCGCTGTGTAATGCCTTTTGGTCACAGTTTTCCCTTGGTGGTGATGTCGCCGTGCGGTGTAAGAAACTGCTTGCGTAATCGCTGCAGGGTTGCGTAATGTGATTGCGTGGCATTTTGGTTTCTTTGCTATTATAGCGTGCTTTGAAGGACCGTCTTATAGCTGCCTTCTTTGCCGATGCTGCTTGGAGCCTGTTCCAGTGTGTCACCTTTGCCATGTGGGGTTGTGCAAAAGGCTGCATCAAGTTTATGCTGTGTAGTGCCATTTTGGTTACAACTTTCCTCGGTGTGGGACATTGCCGTGCACATTGACCTTGCTGCTTGCCATGGGCTCTTTGCCGCTGCTGCTTGGAGCTTGTTCTAGTGCGTTACCTTTACCTTGTGGGGTTGTGCAAAAAACTGCAGCGAGTTTATACTGTGTAGTGCCTTTTGGTCACAACTTTCCTCGGTGGTGACGTTGCCGTGCATATTGACCTTGCTGCTTGCCATAGGCTCTTTGCCGCTGCTGCTTAGAGCTTGTTCCAGTGCGTCACCTTTACCTTGTGGGGTTGTGTAAAAGACTGTAGCGATTTTATACTGTGTAGTGCCTTTTGGTCACAACTTTCCTCGGTGGTGACGTTGGCGTAATGCTCACCTTTGTAATACGAATTTGTAACCAAATCATTCCTTTAAAGAAATAAAGTATCCATATTTTGAATTTGCTTTTTATTCTTCAAAGTGTTTGTGTTTTTTATGATGATGTGACTGTACTTGAAGTTTTGAAGTTTCAAGTTGCCTATGTACTCTTCCAAAGAAAAGATCAAGTCATAACGTAGTTCAAATGAGTGATGAATTTAACAGTGATTTTGATGATGATTTTGCCGTACACAGTTTATGCTATTGCGGGCTAGGAGCTTTGGTGCGTGCAGTTTAGGCTCGTGCGAACAAGGAGTGTTGGTGTTGCCTTTTATGCTCGTGCAGACCAAGAGCTTTGTGCCATGCAGTTTAGGCTCATGCAGGCGAGGAGCATCGTGTCCTACAGTTTAGGCTCGTGCGGACAAGGAGTTTTGTTGCCATGCAGTTTAGACTCGTGCGGGCGAGGAGAATTGGTGTTGCCTTTTATGCTTGTGCAGACCAGGAGCGTTGGTTCGTGCAGTTTAGGCTCGTGCGAACAAGGAGCTTGGTGGTTCGTCAAACGATCCAGAAGAGTCGTTCCTCGCAATCTTCATAGCAAGAAGCTTTGACCGTGTGATTGAAGAAGTCTTCGGGTAAAAAGTCGCGCATCGTGATGGCAACGGACGATCTTTATGTCGTAATTTCATCATCTTCAACACGTTCACGTTGCTTTGAAGGTTGACAAGAGCTGTTTTGCCTCTTTTTCGATTGTCGAACTTGTGGATGAGACGTATGCTTCTTGTGCAATTTCTTAGGAGTGACTTGAGTCCATCCTTCAACTTTGCTTGTCTTGGAGGATGCCCCCGGAGGTTGAGGTAAAAACTTTGAGTCGGAAGAGCCAGAAGTGATGGTGGTATAGTTTGACTTCACCACATCGTCAAGATCTAGCTCGATGATTCCTTTCTAAGCTAGCTTCATGATGAGATCTTTCAGCATGAAGCACTTTTCTGTCGGATGACTGATGAAGCGGTGGAATTTACAGTACCTTGGACTGTCGGTGCGATTTATCTCTTCTAGCCGTCTGCACTCAGGCAAGCCGATCACCTTCTTTTCCAGCAAGTCTTCTAACATGGCAACCACATCAGAGTTGGGGAATGAATAAGTCTTCTCCTCGAGCTCATTCAAAGTACGTATACGCATCTCTTGATTACGAAAAGCTTCGACTTGAATCGCCTTGCCTCGTGTAGAGATTTTGACGGGAGTTGTGTTGACCGTCATTGCTTCCTTGGTGGATTTCCACGCAGCCTTCTCTACCTTTGTCTCAAGAACTTTGTCGTTCTTGTAGTCAGCGATCGGTTCCTTCTTCCCATGATGGATGATGCTTAACTCCATGTCATGGGTGCGGGTGGCTAGCTCTTCGAAGGTTCGTGGTGTGATGCCTTGAAGGATGTATTGCAAACCCCATTGCATGCCTTGGACGCACATCTCGATTAAAGAGGTCTCCGAGAGCCTGTCTTTGCAGTCGAGGCTTAGAGTGCGCCATCTGTTGATGTAGTCAATGACCGGCTCATCTTTCCATTGCTTCGTACTTGTGAGCTCCAGCATGCTTACAGTGCGGCGGGTGCTGTAGAAGCGGTTAAGGAATTCTCTTTCCAATTGCTCCCAGTTGTTGATGGACTCAGGCTCTAGGTCCGTGTACCACTCAAAAGCGTTTCCTTTCAGCGAGCGCACAAACTGCTTGGCGAGGTAGTCTCCCTTTGTCCCCGCGTTGTTGTAAGTTTCGACGAAATGTGCAACGTGCTGCTTTAGGTTTCCTTTTCCATCAAACTGCATGAATTTTGGTGGTTGATAACCCCTTGGCATTTTCAGGGCATCAATCTTCTTGGAGTATGGCTTCGAGTAGAACAAAGAGGTATGTGATCTCCCTTTGTACTGTGCCTTGATGGTGTTGGTGATCATCTACTGCAGCTGCTGGATAGAAAGAGATCCCATGAGTGCCGCTGCTTGGTCTGGCTCAGGCTTCATATCAATTTTCTCCACCGGAGGCTTCTCTTCTTCGCCAGCTGCTCTCTTTAGTGGATCATCCTTTGGGTCGGGGTTCTCGCCGTTCTGTGGCTCCAGTCGGTTGAGGAGTGCAGCGATTTGCAAGTCTTTTTCTTCAACAATCCGTGTTAGCCTTGCAATCGCTTCATTCATTTGAGCCAGCTGTTCTTCAATGGAGGTAATGCCGATGGTCATGACTTGTGCAACCATCATACGCAACTCTACAAGCATCAAAGGTGTTGATGAAGGACCCCGTTGGCCACTTTGGGATGTCATCTGATGTGCCTCAACGACATGCTTCGATGCCCCTAGCGAGGTTAGGTTGATGACGGGCTTGCGTCTTTGATGCTCCACTTGCTCCCTTAGCGGCATCGACTTTGAGGTGGTTTGTTGAAGAGTAGTTGTGGCGCCAATGGATGCTCCGTTCATGGCGGAAGTGCTCATGCTTCTTTCCTTTGCAAGAACGGCTTGTCCTTTGCTTGGTGCCATTGATTTTGGAAGTGTGCTTGAATTTCTTGAACGGAGAAAGAGATGAGAGGTAGAGATTATCCCACCGCGCTTGCCAAATTTGTGAACACGAAAAATTCCTGAAACGAAAGAGACAAGAACAACGTGCACAAAATAATATTTGTATTTGATGATTTTGGGTTACAATCTCTCTCAAATTTGATCATCTGATTCAATCTCCGTAAGGTGTTAATTTATGGATGTGCGATTGATCCAAATGGCCGTTGGGCTTGATCTAAGGATGAACGTTCTTCAAGGGCCGTTGAGCTTGATCTTGAAGGTGGATTTGAGCGGATCTTCAAGGAGCCGTTGGGGCTTGATCTTGAGGATGAGCGTTTCTTCAAAGGCCGTTGAGGCTTGATCTTGAATAACGGTGATGAACGGATCTTCAAGGGGCTTTTGGGCTTGATCTTGAAGAACAGTGATGAACGGATCTTCAAGAGCTTCTGGGCTTTGATCTTGAAGGACGGTTGGATGTGTGGATTTGTCGACGTTGTTGATCCAAAGGGCCGTTAGGGCTTGATCTTAGAATGAACGGATGATGAACGATAATGAACGATGATGAACGATGAACACTTTCTTCAAGGGCCGTCGGGGTTTGATCTTGAATTAGTGGAAGTTCTTCAAAAGCCTTTGGGGCTTGATTTGAAGGTGGATGATTGTTGATCCAAGGGCCGTTGGGGCTTGATCTTGGAAGAACGATGAACGAAGAACGAATAAGGCTTTCTTGATTCTTCGGGAACCTGGATGCTTGAGAGCTTCGGAGTTTCAGAGCTTCAAGGTGTAATATGAATTCGTTTTTTTTAATGAATGAAATTAGCTTCTATTTATAGAATTTTCCAAGGCCTAATTTTGAATATAATATTCCGGATGAAATAAGTCATTTCTGCCAGGTGTTGACACGTGTCATGTTTGATGACTTTTCCAACTTATTTCGATTTTTTGTTTAGACACACGCTACGTGTAAAATTTATGTAATACATGAGCGTTAAAACTTTGATTTATCGGTCAACATTTATTTACGGAAATTTCGATGTCTACAGTATAATTTAACAAATCTTCTTAAAATTTTATAAAATAGAAAATATTTTTTTAATAATATTATGCTAAAAAAAAATAAAAACGTTAATAATAATTTAGTCCTTAACATCGTATTTACAAAATATGATAATCTTTGCATAATCTGATCCCCCAAAATCTAATATATATTTTCCTAAATAATTAGGCAAACCATGATAAACCGTTAAACATTTGAACTCACTCAAAGCAAGTGGTTCTCTACTACACTGGGGGATAGGAATGTTGTTCTTGCACTACACGAGTTCAAATCCCGTCTGTTTCTTAATCTAAACTATACATTAATAAAACTCTATTTGTCAATCAAAACTTTAGCAAATTATCACTCTAACCCTCTCATCAAAACTGAACAAAAATAAAAAAATACGTGAACAATTTAATAATTACGGCATAACACAAATTTTATAAATAAATAAAGTCCACTTTTCTTCTTCTCTTCCTCCCTCTACATTCCCCTCGTTCTCCTATCTCTTGCATTTTTTATTTGTCTCTTTTTTGTTTAGTTGTTATCGGTGCTCATTAATGTTAAGCCGTAGTAAAATAAAAATATATATTTAGTTGAAAGCATGTGTGCCGATTTCTAGCCTAACATCAATCTAAGAAATCTTTGATAAAAAAAAAAAAAAAAAAAAAAAAACCTCAGAAACCCAACTCACTAAACAGGCCAAAAAGCTCTTGCCCACACAATCCAATGCCCGAATCAGCGCGTACATATTCTTAGCAAAGCCCCAAACTTTACGCGCGCAACCGCGGGTTGCCTGGAAGAAGACGATGCAGTGGTACTTCGTTGCCGCGCTGCTTACCGTCCTCACCAGCTCTCAGGTCAGCAAACATTAAGACTCTGCGATTTCCGGTCGTTTTGTTACTACCCTTTTGCGTTTCACTGTTTTCTGGATCTCTGTTTTCTCTTAATCTCTGAATCTGAGTTCTGCAATGTTTGGATTTCGGACCCAGTTTCGATATTTTGGGCAGCTCAGCTCAAATCGATTCAGTGTAGCGTTAATTTAATTCTCCCCGAAATAATTATTTTTGAGTTTTTGTTTAATATTGATTTAATATGCAGCTTTCTGTTTGTGTAATTATGTGTTACCCAATATTTGAAATGTGTAATTTTGAGTACCAGTGTGGCAATGGCACATCGATTTCGATTTCCAACTGAAAGATGAATGAAAGAGGCTTTAAATTGTTTAAAGTGTGTGGCTTTGCTTGCTTATGTTTACTGAAAGAGGTGCTGATGGAACTATATCTCAAAACTGTGGCTAATATCTGAGCTGTGAAAGTACAACTGTGGGCGCTACATTTCTCGAACAAAATAATGCGAAAGGAAATATTTTGCTCTTCGTATCTGATCATTGACTAGTTTACGTGAAAATGTAATGCTCGAAACTTGTACCAGATATGAGTTGTTTCTTGAGATCTTATGGTGGATGTTCTCGCGTGTAATTTTGTAGAACTCATGGTTGGGGATCAAATAACACTTTAGCACTTAATGATTTGTATGTTTTATGAAACTCCGTAGGGGGTTTGTGGTTTAACTGCTGGTTTTGGATCAATTTGTTCCAAACATTTACCCCATTTTTCAATCTGTAAGAAATGAGCATTCATTCGTTTATAATTTAAATAATGTCAGGGAATCTTGACAACTCTTTCTCAAAGCAATGGCAAATATAAGTATGACTATGCAACTGTTCCGTTTCTTGCTGAAGTATTCAAGGTACTTCACCATACCTATCTTCATTTATTGCATCATTTAGCTTGTAAAGTCAATGATTTTCCTCTTACAGCCATCAAATTAGAGATAGTATTCCACTACAAAATGACTCATTTCCTTTCCTCCAATATTTGATGCCTTTTCTAGTTGTACTGATATGTTTCATTGTGGTTCTTTAAAATACAGCTTATAGTTTCCTGTTTACTTCTTTGGAGAGAGTGTCGCATATCACCCTCAGTACGAATGACTACAGATTGGAAGAGTGTGCGCTTGTATCCTATTCCTTCAGTCATATATCTAATTCATAACAATGTTCAGTTTGCCACTCTTGTTTATGTGGATACGTCCACATATCAGATATTGGGTAACCTGAAGATTGTTACTACTGGAATATTGTTCAGGTGCCTACTTTATTAGTTTTCGGGGTGACATAATCTGAATGGTTTTCAATTTTTTTATATTTCTATTTGGAATTTTTCTCTGCCCAGTTATATCTTTGTTATTAATTGATTGATTTTTCTGTATTGTCTGATACTTCAGGCTATTCCTGAGAAAGAAGTTGTCAAATATTCAATGGATAGCAATTGTTTTATTAGCTGTTGGAACAACCACAAGCCAGGTGTCTTTTTGGTTATCAAGTTGGGTTTTCTTTTGTTGACTATTCGTTTTCAGAACTGTTTCACAGATGTTTGCAGGGTAACCTGTTGTTGATGGAGCATGTTAAAAAGATATTGTTGTCTACAATCATCTCAACTTTCTATTAGGTTCTTGACAGAATCCAGAATATGATATTTTTCTGACCTCCTAAGATTAAATTGGAATTAGTTGAGATGAGTATGCGTAACATAAGTTCTTGTTTTCTATTGGCTGACAAAAATTCTTCGATTCAGGAATTTCTTGAATGATGCAATTTTATTACACTCTAAAGTTGATAAATTTTGTCCATTAGGACGAATGATTTCTTATTTGTTGATATACTTTTAATTAATCTGGTAGGTTAAAGGTTGTGGAGAAGCGTCATGTGATTCTTTGTTCTCAGCACCAATCCAAGGATATATGCTTGGCATTCTATCTGCTTGTATGTCAGCATTAGCAGGTGTTTACACAGAGTTTCTCATGAAGAAGAACAATGATAGTTTGTACTGGCAGAATGTACAATTGTATACGTAGGTATCTTTTCTCCACATCATGCCTTGCTTTCTTTGATTAATTTCAACTATGATATAGTATATTATGACTTCTTACTATCTGAAAGCTCAGGGGTGCATTTTCCATTTAGTTCAGTTCTTCTCAAAAAAAATTTAGTTCAATAAGAATTTTTTTTCGTGGACCTTGTTATATATTACAACTACAAGTCAGGCCTCTTTATGCACCTTTTAGGATTGTGATATAGAAAAAGTAGCATCATTTGTGAACTCATTGCATTGTCTTGTCTTGTGATTAGCAAATAACATTTCTTTTGTTTGAGATATGTACATGATTTTTATTTACAGCATGATTAATTGTCCATTTAGAGTTGTGGAAAGAAAATATTGTCTGTTCCTCTGAGGGTACACACTAGATTGGTCTAATGGCAATCCTTTTACAGGTTTGGTGTGATTTTCAACATAGCACGGCTTCTCTTCGATGATTTCAGGGGTGGATTTGAGAATGGACCTTGGTGGCAACGCCTTTTCAATGGATATAGTCTTACAACTTGGTTGGTCGTGCTAAATCTTGGATCTACTGGCTTGCTTGTTTCATGGTTGATGAAGTATGCTGACAACATAGTGAAGGTAATTATTGGAACTGCTGAGCTAATTTCCGGTGTTCTCTTGTAATAAGTGTTGTTATCATTTTAGATGGATGCAACATGTATTATACTGGTGGTAAGCAATCTGTGTGGAAAGATCAAATATAGGGTTTAGCATCAATCAAGTAATTTCCTTTTTTCCCTGTTGTAGATTCTTTGCATACATTCTTATCAAATACAACTGACTGCTGACCTGAGTTTGTCTTTCGCCCTTCAACTTACTCTGTTCGTTTATTTGCTTCTTTCAGGTGTATTCCACCTCAATGGCAATGCTGCTGACAATGGTTTTGTCAGTATACCTTTTCACTTTCAAGCCCACATTACAGGTATGTTCCATCCATGCACAGATCCGCACTTGCTCTCCTTCTCTCTCTTTCTCTCTCTGGAAACTACAAATTAGGTTATTAATAAACTTTGGTTCTCATCCATTCTGTTGTTGCAGCTTTTCTTGGGCATTATTATCTGTATGATGTCACTACACATGTACTTTGCCCCTCCGAACATGCTGGTAGACTTACCCTTACCTGTAAAATCAACCACTGAGAGTCTGAAAGAAGTTTCAGTTGAACGAAAATCAGATTCGTGATGGTCTCCTTAAGGGAACTAATAATTTTGAAAGTTGCATTGAATTGCCCAAACTGGGGCATAATATAGTTTGGTTGATTGGAGAAGTATCTGTAGTTTGAATCAAAAAATTCTGCCAAAGAGAACGCTTAGTCTACCTAGGATTACTCTTCTTGACGTTGGGGAGGAACTGATTTGATCATGTACTTGAACAGATTGATTGCTTGTGGCCACAAATTCTTGTTTATGTTTCTGCTGGGTTTGCCTGCTCAAAGTCTATATGTAACTGTGACTTGTTGAAACATGATCAGGAGATTTACTTCTTGAAATTCTTCATTACTCAGAGGTTTGTATCGTGATTAGGTTAACTGTTATTCATCTGAACTGTGACCGGAAGAAATGTTTGCCTATCAGATTCTGATTCAACAACTCCTTGTTTATGGGATGGCTTTTGATTGTGACCTTTTCCGGTTATTTGGTGCACAGTTGTATGCTCCAGTGTTTAATATACACTGAATTTTAGCTGTTAGATCTTGATCATTAGATTGTTGATCAATCAACGATCTACAGTAAAAAATCTTGGTGCATAAGACATACCAGAGTATAGTAGAAAATCTCAGTCTACATTTTTGCGCTTCAAATATCATTTTTAATGTGTAGCCCTTGCTATATTTTTTCCATCTCTATTGGCACTTCATACACTAATACTTTGTTAGTTATAGTATTTTGAACATTTTAATAAAAATTTAGAAAGAGAGACCAACTGGTAGCCCGGTTGCTGGGGACAACATTTTCACTTTTCGTATTAAAAGAAGCCCTTTGGATCACGATTGGAGATGGTCATAGACCATATTACTGTACACCGACCAGTCTTTTCAGACGTTGAAATGAGCCTCAAATTTGAATTCTTTCTTTGAGTATCGCCAAAAAATATACTCAATAATAATTCTGGTCCATGTTTTGCCAACACCAGTTACGCCATTAAAAGATTGAACATTAAGACTATTGGAACAAGCCCACAAAATTGAGCTCAAGACTTTTGCTACAGCAATGAGCTAACAGTGTGACCATAATTGATGGCCAGCACCTTCCCTTAGAGACAATGAAGTGCAAAATGGATATGTACAGAGTATCGCATGATATAAAAAGTACCAAGTTGGTTTGGACATTATTTTCTCCACTTTGCTTTGAATGTTGAAAGATCTATAAAATATGGGTGGTGGATGTTCAATTAGAAATCAATTATAGAATACTACTAATCATTCTATCTTCGTGCATTTATTTTAGAATAGATATGTTTCACTCTAAAGTAAGTAACTTGAGAGGCTTTGCATTGTAACTCTCTCTCAGCCCTTGAGCTTGCCCATATAAATATGTAAAATATCACCGAGGAATCTTTTGATCCAATGCCACCTGGTGTTATTAACTCGTAACACTATATTATAACACATGTTAATACAATATTTTTTATATATTTTTATTAATTACATGTTGTCCACCTATGTTATAACACGTATTTTTTACTGCGTGACAATCATGCTGAAGTGTTTCAAAATGCTTTTGTTTTCAAAACGTTAAATCTTCTCTTTAGTACGCTTTCTTGTATTCAAGCACATCCTAGAATAATCTTCCTCTCTCTCTTGCTCTTTGGGATGCCTATAAAAGGCCAACTTTGCAACACCAAAGACCAACTTTGCATGAGTTACTAGCCTTCTCAACAGAATCGAGAAGATGAATACCACTGAAACTGGCTTTAGCAACCACGCCTCCAAGGAAATGAGCAAACTAGTAAGAACCACACCCCATGCAACTTCCAGATGCCTCTGCACTACCCAAGGTACCAGAAGAGTGACTATGAGAGCATGCCTGAGTGGAAACTGGACTGCCTTCTGAAGCAGTATGGCCTTCCAGTCATCGGAGATGTCAACCAAAAGAGGAAGTTTGCCATGGGGGCCTTCCTTTGGCCTTCCCAGTATGAATGAGAGAAACCCTTGTTCTTGCTTTGCTACAATTTTCTAGTGTTAGTTGAATATTATCTTGGATTAGTTTTGAGAAGTATCCCTTAAGTACTGTCTGTATGTAACCAGCAATACATTATGATACTGTACGTACTTTTGCTTAATGTAATGAATCAAATAAGGGTTCTAAATTAACGTGTGTGTTATCTACTATAATTAATTAATTAATGAGATGAAATCGTTGTTTGGTGCTCCTTTATTACTATATGTTAAGCGTCTCTCCGGTTCTACGCCGCCGGTATGATGAATGCTGCTGCGGTGAAAATCATAAAAACTATCTCTCTGGTTTTTGTCGAAGCAAACAGAAACCATGTCAAAAATAGTATTGTTTCGCAGTTCATGAGAAGAATTATCGCTCCTTATGCAACTATTGTTGTTCCAGAATATCCAATGCTCAAACTACGTACCCAATGCCAATACAATTTCAATGAGATTGATCAGCAGAAAAGGGATGATGATTCCTCCTCAGTTGTAGTTGCCAATGATCCCGCTTTTGAGAAGAAAGGTTACGGTGATGTGATGCCACAATTAGTGTACTGATGTTGATGGCCGCAGGCATATGGTAAGCCAGTAGTGCCTTCACCACTAACGGGGGTGCTCATTGTGAATAACAACACTGACAGTTTCTTCAGGTTGTTCTTAGGCCGGAAGTAGTTGGCCCAGAACATGCCCTGGAAGCAGCCATTTGTGGAAAACAGCTACGAAAATCCGGTTATAGTCAACTAATGACGACTCACAAGACATGTAAACGGATGGCAATAATTCCTCTGAACTATTATTTCACCAAAAGATAAGATCATCCAAACAATAAGGTCACCAAACATAAGCTTGGTTGCTTCTCCATCCATCTTTTATGTACAGTTTAATTTTTCTGGGTTCAAATGCTTGAAATTGTTAATTTCTATAAGTTGCCCCTTTTGTTTTTTAATGTTACCTTAATTTCACTGGTAAAAAAAGGTGTCTCTCTAGTTCTACTTTTGATTAAAAGTTTGGAACAGTTGCATTTGTACATAATTCTACTGACATTTTTAGAAGCTCCTCAGGGTGGGATGTGAATAGTACAAAATACCGAACTTGTTCTTCAATTTGAGGCGAAAACTTTCTGTGTCATCAGTCAATTTTGCTTGTAGTCTCCATATCTAGAACCCTTTTGCTGCCTTGCTAGTGTACATCTGTAGCGGATCATATGTGGCAAGTTTCGTTAACTAAGTTATCAATAGTAACTAGCGCTTAGTCTAGTGATATTTTTCTCAAATTTTCTGGAAGAGATCCAACAGTCGAAGTCCCTCTCTTTCATATAAAATGAAATGCAAGCAAACTAGAGGCATATGACTAATTCAACCAAGTTAGTTCTACAGCACTTCAATGGGGAAGTTAGTTTTGCAGCAGCCCTCGGATAAACAATAGTAAACAGCGCACACGTCCACACGAGAGCGTACTCATAGCGAAACAATTTTGATCTTTACATAAATGCTTAATAATAAACGGGTAACTTTTATTTCTGTCACTTGCATTCAATAATTGCTTGGGAGCAGCCTCTCCATAAATGGGGGTAAGGCTAGCCGACATTCACCTCTCCCAGACCCTGCGTAAAGCGGGAGCCTTGTGTACTGGGTACGACTTGCATTCAATAATTGCAAGTGATTGATTCTCATGTGATTTGTTTGTGCCTAATCCACAAATTATAATTTGGGTTAGAAATTTATAATTGGTTTTATCCATATTGAAAATTCTCGACCCTCTTGATCTTCTGTTATTCAGTTTGATCAATGCTTACACTACGTTAAAAGCATGAATATAATTGACGTTGTTGGGTAAAAGGGTTAAATGCTCTTAACTACTTAAGTTACAAGGCCTTGTAGATAATGGATTGTTCATAATCTTAAGGAAGAAGAAGAAATAAAAAATCTGATAGGATGCCATCAGAGGTGCAGTGGATTTGGTATGAAGTTTCTTCACGGTAGGTTTTCTCAATAAATATGAAAACAACACATGACCTCTCATCCACGGCACACAAATTCTGTCACAGAAAATAATCAATTCCCTTCTATTTATTTGGATCCAGTAAGTCATCCCACCATGCGTGCACGATGTTTCAACTCCACAACCTGAGATTGAAGTGGATCAATAATAACCTTGTATCATTTCCCTGGTAGTACTAGAATGTTCCAGCTGCCCTAATGAGCATGAAATCTGTCTTTTCATGATCTGGTGATCGTTGTGAACATCCGAATACTTTGACTTTCTAATTAACTAGTTAATCCCACTTGTATTTCGGGTCCCTTTGCCTTAATCGTTTCGGTTTGCGAGAAGGATAGATCATAGATTATAGATCATTTTCTCGCATCCGCACGCACGCACACAGTTTATCCACTCGATCGATTCAAGTTGCTAGGGTTGCGAAAAAGATGGCAGATCGATTCTTCTGGCTGCAATGCAATGCAATGACATGACATGCTTGAATATTTGAAATGAAGGCAGATGGATGAGACGGATTATGTGTTGTAGCTTTAGTTGTTGTTGCGCTTCATTAATTTTCAGATAGACAAATTAACGATTCGAGTGAGAATGATTGGCTCTTGTTTATCTGAATTCATCCAGTGATGCATAAGTATAACTAACTATAACAATTATGTGTCATTAAAAAAAGACTGCAGCTTTGGCATTCTTATCATTAAGCAGCAACATGCTCATCATTGCACTTGATCATTCAATAGTTGTGAGGACATATTCCAATTTTGGCATAGATCACCAACTTGCCAGTGGCCAAGGCCAGGGTGTTTTGAAAGAGGGAGATTGATCAAGTTGCTATGACATCAGGGAAGAAAATAGGCCAAATTGGATTATTCATTTTCTTTCTACCCACCTATGTATTTGTGTTTAAGAATGCGGTAGGTTGTGTGGTTTTTCATGTAGTACATTTGTGTAAGATGAGGTAGCTTTAGTGGTTATTCATTATTTATCGGAATTTAAATAATTTTAGGTTCACATGTTCATAAAAGTTAATTAGGATAATCTACATATATTTTATTTAAAAAAAAATTACCAAAAAAATTAGGCTAAATACACTCTAATATCTCATCCTAAAGTTTTAAGCCAAAAGCATCGGAGAAGAAGTGGTTTCTGGGTTAGAACTAAATTTTCTAGGCTAAAAAAATTAGGTTTTAACCCCAACCATTGAAATTGGTCTAAGGGGAGGGAGGGGATTGGGCTAGCAACACAATGTGCCAACGAGTTACTAGGTATCAAACTCATTATAAATATAATACTTCATTCTCAACCATGTGAGTCAAACTTGAGACCTCTCACTTACAAGTAAAGTGAAATACCATTAGACAATAATACTAGATAGAGTGGCCTACAGATGCCTTCCAAATTAAAGGAACCTAAAAAATTAGGGTTCATTGATGTCTAGGATTGTCTTGGTTGACAATCACTAAATATAATGAATGTTGAACATAAATATGAATGTCAACAAGCTTGCATAATTTGTCTAAACGAAGGTAGAAGATGGAAACGTTGTGAAGAAAAATTGTCCCTTTCGATCCTACCATTTTTGTGGGGATTATGAGGGACAAATTTTCTTCATGATTTTCTGCCTTCTAACTTTGCTTGGACAAAATATGCAAGTTGGCATCCATATTTCCATTCAACATCATTGTAGTGCGTTGTCCAAGCCAAGCCAATTCTAAATATTAAACGAGCCCTCAAATCCAATTTTATCCAAGTTTACCTTCATCTTGAAAATCCATCAAAAGACCGTTGAGTAATTTTTTTGATGTGGGGGGTTTACATTGTCACATGGTATAATACAATTTACTTATATCGTACATAACATGTATTATATGTTAATACTATTTCCATGATTCATAAAATATGAATTTGTATTCATGATTCATAAAATATGAAGTTCATGAACCATGTTATTATTCACTTATAACATATGCTTTGTTAATGCCACTAGCTCGGTGACAGTGTGAATATGTGACAATCGCACGCAAACGTTTCTCGTGGTCACCATATATTCAATATGATTTAGCTTTCATCACATTAAAGGTTTTCTTAATTGCTGTCTTGTCTTCAAGCGCATACGCGAATAATCTTCCCCTATCATGCTATTTTGAATGCCTATAAAAGGCCAACTTTGCAACACCAACTACCAAGTTAGCAACTCTGCATGGGTTACCAGCTTTCTCAACAGATTTGAGAAGGAAATACAAAAATATTGAGACGATGAGTACCACTGAAACAGTCTTTAGCAACCACGCTTTCTCCATGCCCGCCGCTGGTGGGCTCCAAGTAAATGAGAAAACTAGCAAGAACAACACCCCATGCAACTTCCAGATGCCTCTGCACTATCCAAGGTACCGGAAGAGTGACTATGAGGGCATGCCTGAATGGAAACTGGACTGCCTTTTGCAGCAGTACGGCCTCCCAGTCATTGGGGATGTCAACCAAAAGAGGAAGTTTGCCATGGGAGCCTTCCTTTGGCCTTCACAATACGAATGAGAAACCCTAGCTAGTAGCTTAATGGCTACAATTTCTACATTCTACATATATGGTGTTGCTTAAGACTACTGGCATGCATATATACAGTGGAATAATATTAATTAGTTTTTAGAAGTACTCTGTCTGTTAGTATTTAATTAGCAGTATATATTACTGTGTACTTTTATTATTAATGTAATCAAAATAAGGGTTGTAATATTCTACATACATGGTGTTGCTTAAGACTACTGGCATGCATATATACAGTGGAATAATATTAATTAAGTACTCTGTCTGTTAGTAGTATATATTACTGTGTACTTTTATTATTAATGTAATCAAAATAAGGGTTGTAATATAAAGTGTGTGATATATTAATATTATATTAAGCGGTTGTTTATGTATAAGTTGATTGAGAAGGTCTAGCTAACTGAATTTTTACAAGCTCCTCTGGTGGGAGTGATTAGGTAAGCTATACGTTGGTGTCTAGTGGTGTTTATCTCGCATTTTGTTGGAAGAGATCCCACGATTGAATCCTCTAACGTTTTAACTAAGAAGAAATGCGAGCATTAAACACCTAGAGGACGTAATTTTAACCAAGTAAATATTCCACATGCCATTCTGCAGATCATTGGCACATAATTGAGATTAACTACACATTACTGGTTAGCTTAGATGCCAAACTATTTTATAGCCACCCCAGGCAAAGATTAAGAAAAACACAAGCGCACACAACAGAACGATTTAATCTGTGTAGGTAACTTTGTCTTTCACTGGGCATTCAGTAAGTTTTTAATCTCCAAAAATTTCAGATTACGGAAAATATATTCATCTTATTTGGCCACAAAAACATCATAAACCTTAACCAAAACCACTTTTGGTCTCGATAATATTTGAGTCAGCATAAAGTTATGGTTTTTATCTGTATAAAATAGACTCATCGACTGTATATATCAGTTTGATCAATACCTTATATTACATTAAACATTGGATAGAATAATATCCTTAGTTAATTTCGAGAAAGGATGCCATCAGAGGTACAGTGGACTTGGCATGTAGTAGTTGAAATCAGAGTATGCAACATGCAATGAATTACAAAATTATGAATATTACACAATTAACGAAACGAAAAAGAACACTACAAATTTGCCGAGATTATTACATAACTCGAAAGGACTGTAAAACTTAAGAAACCTTACCTCAGATGAGCTAGATTCAAATTCTAAACTAACAAGCAAACCAAATAACTAAATAGACATAAAATAGTAATATTTTCGAACAACCCCATCAATCTCATGGCGGCACGCAACATGAGTTTCACAACAGGAAGTCAGATGCAGATTGTCGATGCGGGTGCTAATGCTGATGTCGATATTGATGGCGATTTCAATGTCGATGCCGATGCCGATGCCAATAACAAACAACGGAAGAGCAAGGACGGACTGACTAACACAAAACAGAGATCAGATCAAACCTCAAATGATCAAACATGCTTTAATACCAAGTTAAAAATGGAGTACACATATAGACGAATGAAAAAATAATCCCAAAATTACTAATATGACTCAATTAACTAAATGGAAGAACACTTGAAATTTACCGAGACAGTTACATAACTCGAAGAGACTATATTGTGACTAGCTTATTTTTCATACTAAACTACAAGTTATGTTTATAAAGAACAAAACTAACTCGAATGGACTAGACCCAAATTCTAAACTAAAGCAAAATTAAATAATTAAATAAACATAAGACATCAATAGTTTCTTTCATAGCAGGTTCTCTCAACAAATTTGAAAACAACACATGACCTCTCATCCACGGCGCGCACACACTCTGACACCAGCCAGGAGAAAAATTAGTTATTTTTATTAATCTGGTCATCCTCCTGCAATGTTACTTGCTAGCCAAGCAACTCTCCAGTCTTCGTCGTGCATGAAATTTCAATTCCACAACCTGAGATTGAAGTGGATCAATAATCATCTTGTATCGTCTCACTGGTACTAGAATGTTCCAGCGGCCTCAACTAGCATGAAATCTGTCTTTTCTTGTTTCATGGTCAATGTTAAGTAGTAGGGCCTAATTATAAGGTAGTAGTATGAAATCAGTTCCTTCTTGTTTGATGGATAATGGTGATTAAACTCGTTTTACTTCCTTGTAACTAATGACATGTTTACTTACTTGAAAGGAAAATGATATGAAGATTATGTTTTCTAGATGATATTTTGTAGTTACATGATGCGACGGTTGATAGTTGGAAGTTGATGGTTGAATTCCAACTATCAACTGCCACATCATGTGATCTATAAAAGATAGGTCAAGCAGATGGTCTCTCTAGCTAGCATCACGCTACTTGAAATATGGAGAGTCGAGAATCGGGGAAGTCGTGAATAGCTAGTGAAGAGTAGGAGCTAGAGTATGAGATCAACTGGACCTTTCCTGATTCCTGGTTTTCAGGTTTTCGATTGCGGAATTGCAAAGGAAATCCTATTAACTTTTTTATTTTCATATGGAATGATGTTCGAACTCATCGAGCAGGGTGCTCGAATGCCACCCACTTAAAAAAAAATATAAAATAAAATAAAAATATTGAAATGGTCAAAATTGGGCCAAGGAGCCTAAGTCCGAAAGATTTTTCGTGTGGAGGTTTGCACAAGATTGTTAAAAAAGGCCATTGTCCAGACACAATTTTCACCCCACGCAAAGTTACCGGCATTACCGGCTTTGTCTCGGGCTTTTGCCAATTTTTACCATATGAAACATAATAACAGATAGCCTCTTCACCTTTTCCCACCAACGCCATTGGTCTCACAACCCTTTGATTCTTACAATTTCTCTAGGAGTCTCTCTCTCTCTCTCTCTCTCTCTCTCTCTCTCTCAGAAGAGCTCTCTGGAGGCGCTGCAGGCAGGGACTCCGAGAGCTTAAGAGAGACGTGAGACCTCTCTCTTGGGGTATTATCCGAAAGAGTCAACAACAATGGCCATTCCCAGGCTCTCTCTTAATCGTCTTACAGTTGCGGCTATTGCTGCCGTCATTTTTGGCATTGCCATTTCTTCTGTTCAGGCAAACCCCATGCCATCCGCTCCCGCTCCCGCTCCAGCTTCCAGTAACAGCCACAGCGATGGTTAGTTCTGAATCAGTTTTTCCCTTTCTGTTTTACTCTCCCTCTTTTCTCACCGTGTACTTTGGATACCACATTTCATGGTTTAGTGGTATTCATGGGGGTTAACATCTAATTTTCAGGGACAAACATTGACCAAGGGATTGCATACTCACTAATCGTGCTGGCTCTTGTGCTTACATACCTCATCCACAGTGCCGACATTCCCGGCTTCTGAGCTCAAGAACGAACGAAGGAATCAACAGAATCAGGGATAGGAGTTTTGTTTAGTCGGACAAGCAGATGGATGTTTGTGTATTCCTTTGCTCATGTGCTGTGTTATGGGATGTCCATGGTACTAATTCTGGCTTTGACAATTTGTTGCTGTTTGACAATTGCATTTCCAGAATTCTGTTTACGAATAACATGAAGCAGAAAAGTAGAAGACGAAATATAGCACATTTGTAAAATGCGAAACAAATCCAGATCAGAATAACATTTTGCAAACATCATTTCCGATATCAGATACAAAGCATGGAGTTACGTAGTAATAAAACCTCAATAATTGTCAGTTTTTCACTGTCAAAAATTCAAAATGAAGAGGGGAAGGAAAGAAGTCATCTGTACGAGAAAGATCTCTGCCGAAGAATCCTATCAGCACCAAATGCAATCAGGCTGTCCGATCAATGTGGCTTTGCATCCTTCTGTTCCTGGTCAGCTAGTGAAAACTTCTTCACTTTCTGTTTGGAGACGAAAGAAACATGTTAGTGTTTGCATAAATGCAGGCACAATTTTGAATTCAGAAATTAAATGATACCATAGCCACTGACCTAATAAGCAATAGCGACTCGATAACCAAGATTGTAAGAAAGTATCATCATTAGTAGCTTATAAGTTATGACAAAATCATTAATTTGTCGATATCTACTTTGAAGCAGTTGCTTATTTGAGCATTAGACTACAGAGCATCTATAAGCTCGATTTCTCAACTTTTGGTAAATCCAAAAATCCAAAAGCAAAAAGAAAGCTAATTCTCCTGTTTAAACACTGAATGCCAAGTTTATGTATCCAAATATCAACTTGATGACTACTCAGCTTTGATTCCCGCATCTTCAGAGCCATATACCTTCACTAAAACAAGTAAATAATCGAATTGAGGAAACATTGGATTAACTGTCAAGTTCACGACTTTAACTCTAGTTTGCATAAAAATGGCGTCCCAAAGATTAGATCCCACCAACGCTAATATAATTGGGAAAGCAACTGCCTCGATGAGTCAGAATCCCGATTAGCAATCAGCTAATTAGTATAAGCTGGCTGGTGATTCAATTAGACAGTAAACAAACCAGAACCACGAAGAAGTTTATTTAGTTCAAACAAATGCATCAATTGGTTTCAGCAGAATGTTGTCATATGCACATGTGTTATTAACTTCACGAAACCAGAAAACTATATCTTCGAAAAAAGTTTCGTACTTTCAAAGAAAAAGAAAAGCATGAATTGAAAAAGCTCACTCCAAACAAATATCAATCTGGGTTTCAAGTTTCAACATTATCCGCAATCAAACTTTTTTCAACAAAACCTAATTCTCTGCCATAATAAATCAAACCCAAATTACCTAACCCCATTCACTCAATTAAATCAAATAATTTGAATAAGCAGCCAAACCCCCAAATCAAATCCCAAATTACGAGTGAATTATTCGATCAATTAATTAGTAATTTCCAGAGAAAGTAAATTCAATCAAAGGCCAAATTAACCCAGTGCCCACAAATTCACAGAGAAACTCAAAAGACAAAGAAAGAGTGTGAATTGAGAGAGAAATAGAAAGTGGGTGACCTTATTGAGCACGCATTCTCGCAGGGAATGCAAGAGGCGAACGCATCTGTCTTGATCGAAAGGAGACTGAGCGACGCAGTTGAGCAGATCCAGAGCCTCCTGGCCGCACACCGCCTTGCCACGAGCGTCCTCCATTGCGGTTTTACCTTAATCAGGGTTTAGGGTTTTAGAGGTGATGGTTTTTCCGAGGATTTGTTTGGTTCCCGAGAAAAGCAAAGAAAGTGGTGGAAAATTCGGCAGTCCCGCCTTGCCGAGTACGTTAGTCAAAGTCGGTCTGTCTGACCCCAAGTTTTCCTTTTTATTTTTCTTCCTCCAACGACACCGTTCCGTTGTAATCCGAAATTATTCCCGCCAAATTATTTGCATTACTTTGCTGGGTATTTTGATGTCAAACTAACTTAACAGTTAAAATTCTTTATTGTATAGCAACTTACCGAATAATTCAATAATATTTCTCTTCACTTGAAATGAATAGGTCTTAAATTCGAATGTACCAGCTATGTAAGATTAAGATTGTGAATTACCACTAACGAGGAAAATTTATGCTTCGAAGGCCCGTTGGAGCAATGGATTAGGAATAAATAAATAAAATGAAGAAAGACGAACTTTTGTAACAATGTTTTGAAATACTAAATACCCAACCCAATGCAATGAAATTGAAGAGTACTACATAGGAAAAATTGAAAGTTTGAACTCTAAATCATGTGGTATGATAAGCATGTCTAAACTGAAAATTTTGATTCAATCATGTGTATTGTTGAGGCAGTGTGACTTGTAAACATGTCGGACAGTTACTCTTCCATGCCTTATCAAGTTATGGGTACAAATTTGGGTAGAGTTTTGGCTAAACGATTTTACCAAACTTGAAGTTGTAGAGTTTGTTAATGGCAAAATGTGGTGCAAATTATTGCCTCTTTTCTATGACTAGTAATGATGAGAACTGAGAATAATATAATTTTTAGAAAACAAGATTTTAATACTTAAATAAGATGAAATTTAGAAAAATGTATTATACAATATTAAAAATTAATTTTAGTTCCTAAACTCTAATTAATACCAGAATATGTATTCAATTTCTCTCTTTTTTATTTATAACTTTATGGTGTTCATAAATTAAATTTTTTGAAAATATTATAAATTTTAATCCCCATTATGGTAAGTCTCTTATATACGAAAATATTTTCGTAGAGATTTTTAGGTACTCTTATGTTTTTGCATATTTTCTTATGTGCCACTAATTCATTACAATATATTTAGGTACGAACATTTCGGTACACTAGGTTAGTATAATATGTTTAGATAGGGACATTTTGGTACACTAGTTTAGTATAATACATTTAGGTACCGACATTTCAATACACTAGTTTAGTACCATAAAATTAGGTACGGAATTTTCGATACACTTATGTTTTTGCATATTTTCTTATGTGCCACTAATTCACTACAATATATTTAGGTACAAACATTTCGGTACGCTAATTTAGTAAAATATATTATGATTCAGACGTTTAGGTACACTAATTAGAGGAAGTTAAATAAAATTAATGAATTAAAATGTTTATTTAATAAATTTAAAATATAATGTATTGAGGTTTGTCACACCATAATTTTTTTTTTAAAGCATGAATAAAGAGGGTAACTTTAATGTAATAACAGGTGACTGTGTTGAACTAAAATGCTTCATCAAACAAAGTAATTTACATAGTCATTACACATAAAAGAAACGACAACAACTCCTAAAAAAAAGTTTAAAACTATTTATAAGCAGTCTCTTTCTTCCAAGTCAGCCATTAGATTTTTGTCTCAGCTCCTGTAACACAATTAATAAGGGGTTAGCTAAAAGCTCAGTAGGGGCCCAAGGTCTTAAGTGATTAATATTATTAATGTTATGAATGTTTTATGAGTAATGTAATGCAAGAATGTACTTCTTTTCTACCCAACCAGTTAATCTATATATTAAAACAAACAGACATGCATGTCCCATACCATGCATTTTACCAATGTGGTCTCAAGTGCTTTAATATATAAAATAACCCCCATCAAATATCCTAAGTTCATAAACTCCTTTTGCTAGTCATCTTATCTAATTCATTGATCTCCAGCCCAAATCACCCACATTGACGATATATCCCGCCAATACCCTATTCTAATGTGCACATCGGGCTCGCCTAGAACTGGTTTCACAATGAATAGATTCAATTACACAAAAGCTAATTTTCACATTTTCCCACAACCTAAGAAACTCCTGTACTTCGTTGACATATGATAATGATCATGCCAGTATATAATATATCACATCTAAGCCAATAGTTAAATATATATATAGCATGTTCACATATTTCACGTTGTTGATGCACAAAATCAGCGAGGACTTTGGTACAACAAAAAGTGTTAAGTTTGAGACATTCACTAGATTGCTCCGGTCACTAGTGTGGATAAGTAAGTAAATGGATAGGGACAGGGAAGCAAACACAAGATGTACGTGGTTCACCCAGATTGGCTACATCCACAGAGTAGAGAAGTTCTCATTAATTGTGAAGGGTTTACACAAGTACATAGGTTCAAGCTCTCCTTTAGTGAGTACTAGTGAATGATTTAGTACAAATGACATTAGGCAATATTGTGAGAGAATGATCTCTATTTATAGAAGAGAGTTTCTAGTTTCATTCTCACACTGACACGTGTCGTGTTGTGATTGGCTTCTGATGTTGACACGTGTCACGCTATGATTGGCTTCTGATATCGACACGTGTCGCGCTGTGATTGGCCTCCTGGTTTGAGGGAAACTCTTTTGGGTCCTTGACGGTATAACATTGACCATTGCTCAGTAATTTCGGGATTGGTCAAGTATGGTACAAACAATGCTCCCCTAAGTTCCCGAGTGAGGGAAGCTCCTCGGTTGGGGACTTGCAAGATCCAAGCCGCTCAGTAATCACGAAACTTCTAAGTACTGAAGTGTGGTATCGTCTTCACTTGCCTTATCTGTCTCATAGGTAGATGTGGCATCTTCTCTGGAAGTACTCTTCCTCCATCCAGGGGTGGTATCTTTAACCGGTGGAGATGCACAAGGTAATGTATCAATTTTACTTGACGTTTACTTGTAGTTTCAGGCTTGATCAAGCACGATACAAACCATGTAGTAGGAGTCCCTCAAGTCGCCGAGCTAGGAGATTTGCCGAATAAGGTAACAGACAAGGTAAACAATCAGACTTCCAAGCAAGCAACCTGGATCGGAGGTTCGACTTCGGCTTCCGGTTGATTGTTCTCTTTCTCCTTGTGTCGTAAACAGCAACAAGGATAAGGAGAAGCAAATGGAGAAGAGATGATATGAGATACTTTTGCTTTTGAAGAAGTAATTTTCCACAGGCTTATTCTTAAACTGGGCTGGAGGGTTTTCTGGTTTCCTCCAGAATATAAGGCCGACTCAAGAATTTGAGGGTTAAAACAAGTCCATCAAATCTAGAGTACGCTCGACCCTGATGATATGGGATACTTTTGCTGTTGACAAAGTAGTGGATGTATCGGCACGTGTTTTGTTACGCTTGTCTCCATATGCTTCCTTGTATCCTTCTCACTTGCCCTATCTGTTCCTCAGACAGATGTGGTATATTCTCTGGAAGCATAAGATGTTGAAGATGAGTACTCAAGAGCAATGCCAGGTAAGTAATCAGGCAAGGGGTTCCAGGCAGTCAGTTCCTGACTGGAAGCTTGATTCCAAGTGTTAACTGATTGCTCTCTTTCTCTTTGTCATGTAGGTAAGAACAATGCCAAAGGAAAAGACAAGGAAAAAGTATGATATGGGATACTCTTGCTTTTAACCCTGATGATATGAGATACATTTGCTCTGGTGTGGCTTGTTTGTAGAGGTATTATCAGGAGGAAAATAAGCTGAGTATTTCGAGAGACTCTGCTGAGAGTGCCCTCTCGGATATGAAGAAAAGTTGAGCATTTTTTTTATTTGCAGGTCTGCCTGGCTGTGGAGGATAGAGGTCGACATATATAGGAGTCTCCCTAACAACAAGTAGTAGTGCTATTCCTTTACCCTTCTTGGTCATAGCAATGTAGTGGGAGCTGCAAGCTCGACGTGTTTTAACTTTGTCAGAGCACTTTGAAAAAGTGGTCTGTGGTATCTAAAAAGCTGATGTTGCGTGTGAAGATTACAGACAAGCTTTATCGAAGGAAATCTAGCTCTCGAAGTTCGGAGAGCAGTGCCTCTTCAGTTTTCGAACAAGCAATCTTGTCGGGGATCTAGCTCTCGAGATTCAGAGAACGGTGCCTCTTCAATTTTTGAGAAGCAATCCTGTTAAGAGTCTGACTCTTGAGATTCAGATAGCAGTGTCTCTTTGCTTTTTAAGAAAGTAATCCTGTTGGGAGACTGGCTCTCGAGATTCGAAGGGCAATGCCTCTTCGATTTTTGAGCATGTAATCCTGTTGGGAGTCTAGCTCTCGAGATTCAAAAAACGGTGCCTTTTCGATTTTTGAGAAAGCAATCTTGTTAGGAGTCTAACTCTTGAGATTCGGATAGCAGTGTCTCTTCGATTTTTGAGAAAGTAATCCTGTTGGGAGTCTGGCTCTCGAGATTTGAAGGGCGGTGCCTCTTCGATTTTTGAGCACGTAATCCTGTTGGGAGTCCGGCTCTCTAGATTCGGAGAGCGGTGCCTCTTTGATTTTTGAGCAAGCAATCTTGTTGGGAGTGTTTTCTCGAATGTGAGTAAAGGTTGGGCATTTTTGCCAGTCTGCCTTGCCACGGAGCACAGAGGTTGACACACATTGGGACTTTCTAGTTATCAAGCGGTGGTGCTGTTCCTTTACCCTTGTGGGTAATAGTAGGGTAGTTAGACCTTCAAAATTTATGTGTCTAAACTTTGTCAGAGATCTTTGGCAAAGTTATATGTGGTACCCGAGGAGCTGATGTTGCGTGTGGAAAGTGGTGCCTCTTCGGAATTCGGAGAGTGATGCCTCTTCGATTTTTGAACCAACGACCCTGTTGCCCTTTCTTTTATAAGGGCACCAATCGTGTGCAAGAAGTACATTTAGAGAGTTATTGCTTGTAGAAATTTTCCCCTTACTTCAGAGATTTATTGCACCTCATTTCTTCTTCATAATTTCTGAGAATGTCTGGCCCATCCGACCGTCGTTTTGACTTGAACTTTGGTGAAGAGGTAGCCATACCTTCTCAAGACAATATATGGCGCCCATCCTTCTAATCCCCTACTGGTCCTCTTACCGTTGGAGACTCTGTGATGAAGAATGATATGACCGCTGTGGTGGTGGC